CGGTGACCTCTCGCATTTCTTCTCCAATCTGTCCATCTATACATTTTCCAAAAGAGGTGAGAGTGAAGATCTCATAGGTAGTCCAAATATTTGCTAATAGATATTGCCGTTGAATGTTAAATATGTGTTACTTACTGTCAGATTGATTAGTCGTGTTGACGACTCCTTCCTTATCAGCTCTGCCTCCAGGATATCCTCCTCTCGTTTCAAGACCTCCAGCAGGGCGGTGACTGCATTCTCGCCTGAGATGCTTGGGTACATGGATTGCTTTCGCAACTTGGTCATATTTGCAGGAAGACCTCGAGAATCGTACCTTCTCCAATGTCCAGAGTCGGACCACAAACTTGGTACATCCCAAGGCTTTGTTACTTTGATAAGTTGTAACTCTGTTGCTACGATGGCTTCGAATATGTTACCGGCGAATATTTTGGAAATGTACCACATCCACCATATTAAACAACTACGTGTTTTCAGGCTTCACGAAAGAAAGCGAAAATATTCTCAACCAATAAAAAACTTGGCCGGCTACAACGCTAGTCCCTTTGTTATACACCTAACTTGGCAATCTGAATCAGGTATCCCATGATTTAGTTGGCCACTTCAACCTTACTTTACGTAGATCGCAGATATGAAGAACAAGATGGGGTGGCGTTCTGTTTGGTCACAGTCTCCTTTAGCTTTATTTTCTTGGTTCCCACAACTTTTTCGGAGACAGCATCAAACTTACCTACTCCAATGTCCTCTGCCATAGTATTCGTGATTTCCAGCATTCGACCATTGGCTGGGCACATTCCTAACGTTTCGCCGGCACCGTAGTCGGCATCTTCCGTGAGAGGTGCCATCGTAAGCATAGAGCTAAAACTTATCAAAGTGACATGTGAAGGCAATCCCCTTAACCAATTTTCCGTTCAACCGTTGTGGCATCACTCCTCTCCCCTATTTTTTCTTCTACCTTTGAGTACCACATCTCTTTTTCTCAACCCCATTTCATATGGCCCATCCACTTATTAACACAATTCTGTGCTCTCGTTTTCCCCAATGCCGCCTGAGAGTGTGTCACTACAAGTGGATTTAGTGAAGCGCAATCATCTCCACCACAGATACCAGATGCGGTTGGCTCCTGGCCCACATTCTGCCCGCCTTTTTTTCCTACCCGCCATATCACATTTTGTGTTGAAATTGTCGGTGAAACAAACTTAAATTTGCTACAGCAATTGACGAAATTACTTTTATCGTAAGTGAGTAGGTTTTCAAGACTTCCAGTAAATCAGATATATGAGTTTGGCTCGACTTCCGGCTGGGGTACTTTTAAGACCTACCTATGCGAGGTCGAAACTACAGTCCACTCTGGAGCTTAGGGAAGTCTTCCGAACTAAGTGCCTCAGACAAGATTTATCTAAGTCTAGTCATAGCCCTAATTTCTTCATATTTTAATAGTAGTTTTCTCAGGAGTTTGTATGACCAATTTATCACAGAGTTTATGCATAGATGGCCTTAATTGTCATCGTGATCACTGGTGTAAAAAATTTACGGTAGAGAAAAATCTTGCGGCACATTTAGGTCTTTTCCTTATTTGAATTTAATCAAGTCGATCATCAAGCCTTAAAACCCCAAAATAGCCTTCAGTAAGCATCACAAAGTAAGCGATGGTATGAAGCCCAAGGTGGTGTGGCCTTTAGTGTGGTCGCGGTACCTACGACCAAGTTGTGAAAACAAGATCAGACAATTTCATTACAAATTAAGAGTTAAATGAGTATTAGATAATGTTTATCATAGCTTATGTAGTGTAAATAATGAGAAGTTCAATTTATAACCGACGCTAATTCTCATCAATAAATATCTAAGAATAAAAAAATCGACACCATTAAATT